TGTTGCAGACTGGGGGTCCCAGAATCCATCCACAGTGATCAAGGGAGAAATTTTGAATCCAGGGTTTTCTCTACCATATGTGAGAAGTTGGGTATTGCCAAGACTCGCACCACACCCCTTCACCCCCAAAGTGACGGGTTAGTGGAGTGATTTGATAGGACTCTTGCAGAACAGCTGTCAATCATCACATCCGGTCATCAGAGCGACTGGGATTTACACTTGCCACTTGTCCTCATGGCATGCCGTACTGCAGTCCAAGATTCAACTTCTTGTATGCCTGCTCTACTGATGCTTGGCTGCGAGCTGAGGACTCCTGCTCAGCTTGCATTCGGAAGACCTCCTGATGCATTGGGGACCCCTGCTGGACCTGCCTATGCTAGGCAGCTGCAGGATCGGCTGGACATTGTGCATGAATATGCCAGGAAGCATATTCAGGAGGCAGGAGTACGACAGAAGAGGAACTGTGACATGCACACCAAGGGTCGGCACTTTGTCCCTGGGGAGTTGGTGTAGGTCTACTCGCCTACGCGGAAGAGAGGCAGGTGCCCCAAGCTGGACAGTCACTGGGTTGGACCATGTGCAGTCCTAGAGCGATTGGGGGAAGTTGTTTATCAAGTTCAGTTGCCTCCATGGGGACGCTGGGTAGCTCTGCACAGAGACCGACTCACAACTTACAAGGGCATCGTTGCTCCTCAGGACATAGGTCGGGACAAGGGGATACCAGCCGCATTGTCTCCTGCAGAGGGGAGTGCTACTAGCAGTCCGGCAGACACTGGGAGAGGGCAAGAAGGATTCCCACAATTGGGGGCAGAGCAGCGGGCAGGGGTCATGACCCCACGGCGCCCCAGACGGCAGCGACGACTCCATCTGAGGTTCAGAGATTTTGTCCTCTGGGTCGAGGACTCTACTATTGGGGGGTTAGTGTAGCATGTTCCCTAGTTGGACTATTCCAATGACATTTCTATATTCGTGTTCCTATAGCAGTTCTGTAGTTTGGTTCATAAAAAAAGGGAAAGGACTGTTTATGAGGGGGAAAAACACCCAGGAAAAATGTTGTTGTTTGTTGTCTTTGTTCGAATGGCTGTGGTGCAGATTAAAAATAAAAACATCCCTCCTTTAACGAGTCATCCGCATATAAATTACAACGCATGAATAGAGAAGGCGTTACAATACTTATAGCTTCAGACACATCACCCTATCTGACAGTCTTTTCCAGTGGCGGCTCATGGAGTTTCCACCAGGAGGGGCTATAACTCCAAAATAGACAGTATATATATATATATTCATTCAACATTTATATATATATATATATATATATATATATATATATATAT